AGGAAAGGGTGTGAAGGTCTTGCAGCAGTGCCTGGAAGCAGTGATGGGCTGGATGGCAGCCAGTGAACTGAGGCTGGATCCTGATAAGACAGAGGTACTCTGAGTGGGTGGTTCCCATGTTTTGGGAAGGGTTGTGGTCCCTCTGAAGGAGCAGCTTTGAACCCTGGGAGTACTCCTGGATTCCACCTTGTCCCTAGAGTCTCAGGAGGCACTTGTGGTTAGGAGCACACATGCCAACTTAGTCTAGTTTGCAAGCTGCAGCCATTCCTTCACCAGCATAGCCTGGCATCAGCTAGCCATGCTCTAAGTGACCTCCTCTTTGGACTACTGCAATGCTCTTTGCTCTGGATTGCCCTTGAAGATGGTCTGGAGGCTCCAGCTAGTGATAACTAGTTTATATGGGGCAGCCCATTGGAACCTTGTGGCACCAGTCCTCAGAGCACTGCACTGGTTACCAGTTAGCCATACTGGGCCCAATTCAAGCTGTAAGCACTAGAATAAAAAGATAAAGGTACCCCTGACCATTAGGTCCAGTTGTGGCTGACTCTGTGGTTGCAGCGCTCATCTTGCTTTATTGGCCGAGGGAGCCGGCGCACAGCTTCCGGGTCATGTGGCCAGCATGACTAAGCTACTTCTGGCGAACCAGAGCAGTGCACGGAAACGCCGTTTACCTTCCCGCTGGAGCCGTGCCTATTTATCTACTTGCACTTTGACGTGCTTTCAAACTGCTAGGTTGGCAGGAGCAGGGACCGAGCAACGGGAGCTCACCCCGTCGTGGGGATTCGAACCGCCGACCTTCTGATCGGCAAGTCCTAGGCTCTGTGGTTTAACCCACAGCGCCACCCGCATCCCAAGCACTAGAATATTAAATGTTAAATGTTATTTTAAAGAGGTTTTAAAACTGCATTGTTTTGCTGTTTTGCTGTCTGTTGTTCTGGTCTCCTTTGGGAGGATCATGGAATCATAGAACTGTAGAGTTGGAAGGAACCCTGAGGATCATCTAGTCCAGCCCCCTGCAAGGAGTGTTAAATAAATATGCACCAGCCTTCACCAACCTCGCACTCTCCACATATTTCGGCCACCACCTCCTCCCTCAGCTTAAGAACACAGGAACCTAAGATGAACCTGCCAGAAGAAGCCACTGGTCCATCTAGTCCAGCATCCTTTCTCACACTTGCCCCAAAGGGAAACCTGCAAGCAGAATCTGAGCACAAGAGCAACATTTGTAGAATCACAGAATGGTAGAGTTGGAAGGGGCCATGGGGGTCATCTAGTCCAGCCCCCTGCAATGCAGGATTTTTTCGCCCAACGTGGGGATCAAACCCGTGACTCTGTTATTAAGGGTCTCCTGCTCTACCAACTGAGCTATCCCAGTTCATACCCGCTCCCTCTTTTTTTTTTTACTAACAAAAAGTTTTATTTATAAAGAACTACAATTCAACACCAATGTAGAAAAGTTACTGAAAATTATGCAAGGACAAATTAAATAACTGGCTTCATTCTTCACTCTTCAAACACCAATGGTAGAATTAGGAGTGATACCATTAAACCACTGCATATTTTCTTCTATAGGTTTAAAGATTAAAATAATAAGCAAAACAGACTCAATAGCTATTTATAGTTAGAAACACTCTGTAGAAGAGTAATATTGTCTCCTTTTAACATGATTTGACCCAGCTGTTTCCTTGATTTTGTCTTGGAGTGGCTTCAGATGTCTTCTAAACATCAGATAGTTGTTTATTTCTTTGGCATCTGATGGGAGGGCGTTCCACAGGGCGGGTACCACCACCGAGAAGGCCCTCTGCCTGGTTCCCTGTAACCTCACATCTCTTAGTGAGGGAACCGCCAGAAGACCCTCAGAGCTGAACCTCCGTGTCCGGGCTGAACGATGGGGGTGGAGACACTCCTTCAGGTCTACTGGGCCGAGGCCGTTTGGGGCTTTCAAGGTCAGCACCAACACTTTGAATTGTGCCTGGAAACATACTGGGAGCCAATGTAGGTCTTTCAGGACCAGTGTTATGTGGTCTTGGTGGCTGCTCCCAGTCACCAGTCTAGCTGCTGCATTCTGGATTAGTTGCGGTTTCTGGGTCACCTTCAAAGGTAGCCCCACATAGAGTGCATTGCAGTAGTCCAAGTGGGAGATAACCAGAGCATGCACCACTCTGGCCAGACAGTCCGCAGGCAGGGAGGGTCTCAGCCTGTGTACCAGATGGAGCTGGTAAGCAGCTGCCCTGGACACAGAATTGACCTGCGCCTCCATGGACAGCTGTAAGTCCAAGATGACTCCCAAGCTGCACACCTGATCCTTCAAGGGCACATATTGGAAGCATCCCAGCCGATCCCAGGGATCAGAAAAACCAATAGGGGTGGTGGAAGCCAAGAGATCTTGACCGTTCTCCTGTTTATGGAGCCTGTCTTGTTTGCTTCTTCTTCTGTTGTTTTCTCCACGATTGGATCCCCTCTGTGGTTAAGCCAGCCTTGACAGGTAAATCACCACTTTAGCAGCGCTGTTTTGTCAAGGGCTCAGCAAAGCCCAGGTGAAATCCACCGAGTCATCAGGATGAAGCAACCTCAGGATGAAAACAATGAGCTGAACTCCCGTATCGGAGGAGTCCTTGTTTTGCAAAAGTTGTGGTTTCTCTTGATTGGAACAGCAGAACAATTAGGGTGGACACTGTCTGAGAATTACCTGTTGGAGGATTAAGGAGCAGTGCAAATACCACAGAGGGACTTGGCAGCTGCAGAAGAACAAGAAAACAGTTATTTTCCAAGGCACAAACTATTTATGGGGTTTTGGAAATATGGTACTGAGATTAGAACCCCACATTTGGCACTAACAGCCCCCTTAAGCCTCTCTCTCACTCCTTGAGCAAACATGTAATTAAAGGGAGATATAGACGGCAGGAGAGGGCTGGATTTAAGCCCAATATACACTTGAGCCAACCTAGGTATTGCATCTGGATTTCAGATGCAGGAAATTTAAAACTTGGAGACGGTCCTTGATCTGAATCAAAGTCTGTAGGGACCAAGGAAAACAATAGGGTCCCAACTTTCCCACCTAAAAATGGCAAACTGGATCTCAGCATTCATTTCATTCCACAAATATTCCAGTTCTGCCTGTTTGACTGTATTGGCACAGAGTTTGGCCCCTCTGTCATTTATTTATTTATTTATTTATTTATTTATTTATTTGTTTGTTTGTTTGTTTGCATTTATATCCCAGTTTTCTCTCTCTCCAAGAAGTTCAAGGTGGCATGGATAGTTTTTCCCTTCCTTCCTCATTTCATTTCCACAACAACTCCATGGGCTGAGAGGTAACGAGTGGCTCAAGTTCACTCAACTACCTTCATGTCTGAGCTGTGATTTGAACCCTGGTCTCCCTTGTCTTAGCCCACACTGGCTCAGAAAAGAAAAGAAAGGTTGCATTTGAATGGATAGAAAACAATTGGCTCATTGTCATGATGACTAATCTACTACACGAGAATACATGCAAATCAACCCAACTTACATATTTATTTGAGAGTTTGGGCCTAAAAAAGGGGTGCTGCCCTTATATCAATTGATTTCAGGGTCATTTGCAAAAATGTAAACAATAAAAATATAATTTCTATCAAATCATAATAAAATTGAACTCAAAAGTGGAATAGTAGGACACAAGCTGAGAAAAACTCTACCTGGTATTTCACATATTCTCCCGATGCTAAAAATGTTTAAAATGCATTAGATATAGTTCCCAGCACCTTTTACCTATCAAAAACTTCTTCCTGATGTTTAGTCGCAATCTCCTTTCTTGTCACCTGAAGCCATTGGTTCGAGTCCTCCCTTCCAGAGCAGGAGAAAACAAGCTTGCTCCATCTTCTACGTGACGGCCCTTCAGATATTTGAAGGTGGCTATCGTATATCCCCTTCCAGTCTCCTCTTCTGCAGGCTAAACATCCCCAACTCCTTCCAGTGGCAGAAGAAGGGGGTGCAGTGGGGGCAGTCCATCCCGGGTGTCATCCACGAGGGGGGTGACAAAATCCCCCCTGGGCGCTGATCGCCCTCCTGGACAGCTCGCCCTGCCCCCCTAGGTGGCTTGCCCCGCCTCCTGGGTGCATGGCATGTGTGCTGCTCTGGGGCAGCACCCCCTGGGACGCTTGTCCTGCCCCCGCGGGTGGCTAGCTCTGCCCCCACGGACAGCTAGCTCCGCCCCCGGGTGCACAGCATGTGCGCCGCTCTGGGGGCTGGAGCAGCTAGCTCCACCTCTGACTCATTCAACCGTTCCTCATAAGTCTTGGTTTCCAGATCCTAGACCACCTTGGCTGTCCTCCTTGGCACGTGTTCCAACTAGTCAATGTCCTTCTCAAAATGTGGTGCCAAGAACTTCACCCAGGGCTCCAGGTGGGTTCATCCCAAAGCAGGATAGAGAGGTAGCGATACTTCCCTTGATTCCCCTTACAGAAGTATTGGTACCTCTGAAGAATGATGAGTCTTCTCCCAAAACAGCAATAAAGTTAACACCCAAGTCACGAATGATTTCAACACTCAGTGTGTACATGATAGTAAGAAAGGTGCTATTGAGTCAGTGTTTTTAATTAGGTATCCTTGCAGCATCAGTAATCTCTCATCCCTTGCCACTGCTATGCCCTTAAAAGTAAAAACCACCAAGGGAACAGGGTGGATCCCAAAATGAAGGCGTCATAAGGGATGGAATGCATGATGTGCCCATGCGCGCGAAGCATGCTACGGTGGCCTTTAATGGAGGCACATGGCTGGCTCTGACTCTGCAAGGAGACAGGAGGCTGGAGCAAAGATTCCTTTTCATCTTGCTGCAATGGATGAAATCGCTGCATTTTTCACACCAAAAACACAGCAACCCTGAAATACCCAGGCTTAACCTTTTGGTGGTGCTTAACTTTCATTGGGAGCACTCAGGATGCGCTGGCAAACTCAAGCGAAACCACTAGGGGGCTCTCCGAGGACTCTGATTTAAATAGTGAGCCACAGGTGCAGCCGACTTTAGTTTGGGTAGCTCCTCCATCCAGCAACCTGCTCTGAAATCTCTCGGATTACAAGCGCAGAAGTACAAGCAGAAGCTCGCTTTGCTCCTCCGTCAAGGTTGCTCAAAGAATCGGCTGGGCTCCGGCGCTGATCGATCCCCAAAGCTCCAAGCCTTTGGAAACTTCCCAGGAGCTCCGGTGCAAAGGAGATGGCCAACAGTGGTCTACAGATGCTGGGCTTCATCCTGGCCTTCGTCGGCTGGGTGGGCTTGATCATCAGCACGGCCATGCCCCAGTGGAAAATTAACGCCTATGCTGGGGAGAACATCTTGACAGCCCAGGCCATCTACCAAGGTCTTTGGATGAACTGCATCACGCAGAGCACAGGGCAGATGCAATGCAAAGCCTTCGACACCTTGCTCAGCCTCCCAAGTAAGTGGTTTGCTAGATTTCCTTTCGGTGCTGGGCTGGTGGGTTGCTCTTCAGTTCAGCACACCAGGGCTGTGGTGTCAATAAACTGCCTTTCTTGGTGATCAGCACTACAGGGAATAAGAATTCCAAGACAGAAGAGGCAGGATAACTTTTACAAGTTGTCAAATTACACACCTCAACAAGAAAAGCAGGCATCTCCGTGTCGCACGCGGCCTTAGAGACAGAAACTTTTGGTTTCACTGGGGAAAACTTTTTTTAAAAAAGTTTTATTTGAATTTGGGATTTTTACATACATCATATTATCTCCTTCCAACTCTACATTTCCCGTACATTTTTTTCCTTTCCCCCCCTTCCCACCCCCACCCCTGCCATATCCATTGGAAGGGTTCAAACTATTATCCTCCGCCACGGGCATAGAGTCGTTAGTTTCCACCCAATGTCTTTTGTTCCAGTAGTTTTTATCCATTAAAGATAGGGGTTCCATATGTTGACCTTCCACCTTGTTTCCTGTGACATGACTGCGACAATGTCCGACTGAAGAAGTTCAAACAAATAACTATTCCATGCCTCTACTGTCCATTTTTCTCTATCTTTCCAACCTAAAGCTATCATTGCCTTTCCCGCTAATATCATAGCTTTGAAGATAAACTGGTCACCTTTCTCTATAGCCCTGTTTCCATTGTCATGAAATCAAAGTCTACTGAAAGCTTCACTTAAAAAATTTCATTAATAACCTTTAGGGTTTTATTCCAGAATTCCTTTACCTCTGGGCATTCCCTGGGGAAAACTTCTTAACCAGACTCAGGGAAATAATTTTTTTCAGGCTACAGAGGCATTTCTTAGGCTTCTACAAGGTCCCAGAGCATCAAAGAAGTCCTTCGGTCTTCTCTAATTCAAAGGCCACTTGGCTTTCCATGCTTTCTTTTACTGCTTACACATCTTAAATGTATACATCCGTATTTCCCCCCAATCCCAACTGCACTCCATACCCCACAGACAGGACTCTCTTCTCGGCTACCATTGCCTTAGCACAACAGTATCAGGCTGGTTCACAACAAAGAGCTCTGTGAGGTCGATTGTCACAATGCCCATTTTACAGATGAGAAACTGAGGCTGGCAGGTGGCAGTTTTCTCAAGGCTGCTCAGTGGAGGTGGGAGCTGTTCTGTCTGCCTTTCTCCGCAAAAGACTCCTGGTAGTGAGAAAACAGTCGCTAAGGCACGTAGGAAACTGTTGGTAGGGATGCAAATTCCTCTTGTAGGTTTTGTTCAAGATACGCTTGAAAATCCTTCTGGCTGCTTCTCACAAGGGTGGGGACAGTAATTATGTAGTATCTATTTTGGATCATTATTTAATGGTAGCCAGCTTTGGAGTTTCACATAACTCATTCCTCTCTGATGAGATCTGTCTAGTTCCAAAGCACACTACTTTTTCATCTGAACTATTGATTCCTATTGACTCACATTTGTGATTCTCCCTTCCCTGACCAGGGGTGATGTGTGTTGAGGTTCCAGAGGGCAGTTGTTAAAAGTACAGGAGTTTTACGGAGCTAAAACTGACGTGTACATGTGAAAATTGGATTCTTCGCGGACAGCGTTTTTCACAGTTCAAGTTACTTATTTGTCCTTGACAGAAGTTTAGAATTTAACAATGTTTGAGATCGATTTCAGAAGATTTGAGAGGTGACATGCAATGGTATTTTGTATTTGGCAATATGTAACAGATGATAGGTCATGAGAGTTCACCAGGGACGTTTGTCGGAATCAGACCCTTAAGAAACAATGTTGTTCTGCCCAACAACAGCCCTGAAACAGCAAGTCTGAACTGTCCACATTTTAAGGGTAATTGCATAATCAATCTTCTAGATGTCCTTCGGGATCTCTTCCAATTCTACAAGTCCTTGAATCTATGATTTCAATTTGAATGTCAAATTTTCTGTTTATTGATTCTTAAAGTCATATCCTGCCTTCACATGAAAATGTGCCTCTGGCAATGTGAGCAGCCAAACTGAAATGTTGAGGAACCTCAAATGCATCTGAAGGTTTTGCTTCACCTCTGAAGAGGCAGATATAGGCGGAATCATGAGATATCACTGCTTCCCTGGGTTCCAGTATGGATGATTTTAGTCACTGAACGAGAAAGAAGTTGACATATTGGCTTTTCCTTATGCCTTTTGCTCACCCCAAAACAGTTGCACCCCAAATCTGAGGTTGGATGGCCAGATTAATACATTGCAGGGGGTTGGACTAGATGACACCGGGGGGTCCCTTCCAACTTGATGGTTCAGATGTCAGCATTCGTAACAGAAGCTTGTTCCCAGGGATCTTTGCTAAGAGTCCTGGAAGTTAGCCAAAAGGCTTGAGGGCTCACAGCTGAGATGCAAAAGCCACTTTTCAGCAGCGGCTACTGACTGTTGTGTCACGACAAACTTGTCCGTATCATGTAACATAAGTCTTTATTCCTCTGGGTAGCTGGAAGGAAAGAAAGGGGGGGGAGAATAATGACTATAATTTGATTTAACTAAATACTGAGGCTGGCTTGGCAAGTGCTGTTTCTGGGGGATGGAGGGAGATGATTTAGCAACGGTGGACACAATTAGCAGAGTTTGGGGTTTAGGAATTTGGCGAGGGTTTCCTGCGAGTGTTTTCATGCTGTTCCTAGAAAGAACCTGTTGGCTGGCTTTCTCGTTGGTACTAGCAAGGTGACCAGATCCCTATCCCGTGGCTGCCAGAGCTGAAATTAATTGGGGCGCACAACTTAGGCGGTGTCCGTTCACCCTCTGCGGGGCGCAATGGTCTCTGAGTTCACATCGGGCATTCAGGCAACAGCCTGCGGATAGATAGCGTGTGCACAAGTGGAACGAGGTGTGCCCACAATCTCTCCAAACCAGAAGTCATGGCTTGGGCATCGCTCCTGTTGTGCGCATTTGGGTATGTGTGGGTGTGTGTGTGTGTGTGTGTGTGTGTGTGTTTTGGTGTGCTTTTGCCAGCTCAGCTCTCCTTTCCAGGAGTGGGTGGAATAAGCATGAGCTTGAGGGGGGATAGTTGGAAAAACAGGCAATACCTCCCATCACACACACTGATTCCTGGTTGTGTGTCCAGATCCTGAGACCTCCCCCATAAATACAGTGGTACCTCAGGTTGCATACGCTTCAGGTTATAGACTCTGCTAACCCAGAAATATTACCTTGGGTTAAGAACTTTGCTTCGGGATGAGAACAGAAATCATGCTCCGGCAGCACAGCAGCAGCAGAAGGCCCCATTAGCTAAAGTGGTACCTCAGGTTAAGAACAGTTTCAGGTTAAGAACGGACCTCCGGAACGAATTAAGTACTTAACCTGAGGTACCACTGTAAAAACACATTTGACTCAAATTTTGGTTTTGGTTTTTTGGCAGAATTTAGGCCACAACTTTACTGATTACAGATAAGTGAGTGGTTGCATAGGCTCTGGTTCGACTAGCTCCCTATGCCCACGGTAGGTAGCGCTGACCCAGGGCGCACCATAGGTCAGCCAAGGGTAAACACCTGGGGAAGATCAAGAGCCTGGGAGCAGACTCTGTCCGCTTCCCAGATGCTCCCTGGGACTCAGGCACAGGCACAACCCCCAACTGGGGTTGACCAAACCAATTAGAGTCCTTGGATTCCTTTAAAGCAGCCTTTCTCAACCTGTGGGTCCCCAGATGTTGTTGAACTACTACTCCCATCACCCCTAGCTAGCAAGGCCATTTATAATTATTATTATTATTATTATTATTATTATTATTAGAGGTTCAGTCACATTGATCTCCCCATAACATGTGCCCTCTGTGAGGAGGACACGATATAGGAAAATTTTCAAAGCTCCGATTTGAAAATTTAGAGTTTGTGCTTGATCATTTGGAAAGCAGTGGACTCTCCTTCACTGGAGATTTTTTTAAACACAGGTTGGATGGTCATCTGTCAGGGCTTCTTTAGCTGTGATTCCTGCATTGCAGGGGGCTGGACTGGATGACCCTTGGTGGCCCCTTCCAACACTACAATTATTTGAGTCTATGGATTTCTTCTAGCTCAACTTCAGCCATTCCAGTTAATACATTTTATGCGTAGCACAGAGAAAGAGAGAAGTTTTTCTCCCTCTCTCCTAACACTAGGACTCAGGGACTTCCAGCAAAGGGGGATGTTGGAAGATTGAGGGCAGAGAAAAGAAAGTCCTCCTTCATGTAGCCCATAGTCAAACTGGAACTCACTGCAGGATCACCAACCTCAATGGCTTTAAAAGAGGATTGGACAAATTCATGGAGGAGGAGAGAGCTATTGACGGCTACTAGTTCCACTTTGGAGGGCAGTAAGTGCTCAGGGACGCGGGTGGGCTTGCCGATCAGAAGGTTGGCGGTTCGAATCCCCGCGACGGGGTGAGCTCCCGTTGCTCCCTCCCTGCTCCTGCCAACCTAGCAGTTCAAAAACACGTCAAAGTGCAAGTAGATAAATAGGTACCGCTCCGGCGGGAAGGTAAACGGCCACCTGTTTGGCCACTGTGAGAACAGGATGCTGGCCTAGATGGGCCACTGGTCTGATCCACAAGCCTCTCCTGATAATCTCATTTTTAAAAGCAAGAGATTTGGGCCAGAAGGAAACATGATCTTGGGCACCCTTCTTGATCCTAGATGGCTACAAAGTCCAGGTTGACTAGGGCCTTTCCATCATAAAAAGACCCTCTGTGCTTCCTCAGAGGCTCATCCTTGCCTCCATGTTTGTCCCTCAGTGCCCAGCACTGAGCTTTGGCACTGGAAAGTGGTGCTGGGTCTGATCTTTAATTAAGCCCTGCTCCCAGCAGAGTCCAACTGCTCAGCTATTCTGAGGGCGTCAGAAAGCACCTCTGTTCTGGCTCCTGTGTCTGTAGCTGGTGCCACAATCTGATTAGCAACCTTTTCTCGCTCAGCAAATCCCTCACGGTTTCCTGCTGAGCTCTGTCTGAACTGGTAAGCCGACTCGTCAGGTGGCTTCCAAATGGTTGATAAATGCATGGTGGCAGAAGCTTTAGCGGGCATGCGCCCGTCAGCTTCTCGAGTACGTCTTGCGATGTGGATTCAAGCCCACAAACACATCCCTGGCCTCTGAGACGTTTAAGGTGCCAGAAGCTCCTGTGTTGCACTTGCTGCAGTTGCAGCTGGACAGGGCAGCTGGCTGGTGTGGCTCCCCTTCAGGAATTTGTCAAGGACACTTTGGAGGCTTGAACGACTAATGAGAAGAGGGCGAAAGAGCTTTGATTCCTGCATTTGCAGGGGTTGGGCTAGATGACCCCTGTGGTGCCTTCCAATTCTATGATGCTATGATGCTATGAAAATGTACTTGCAAAGTCCGGCCTAAGGTGTTGAGGCTTTTAAATCCCATGTATGCACGGTGATGCTGGTGCTATTCAGCAATGCGCACACACTTCTCCCCTTCTCTGTTTCATGTTCAAAACAACCCTGTGCGGTAGATTAGACTGAGAGATTGTGAATGTCCCAGTGAGCTTCGTGGCAGAATGGGGAGTTGAAACCTGATCTGCCAGGTCCTAGTCCAACCCTCTAACTGCTACACAATCTGGGCTCTGTAATACACTCTGTCCATGTTCAGAGACATGCTTTCCTTTGTTTATTGCTTCACACTGCTTTGGGAACAGATTCTGGGTTTGAGCCAGACCTCAACTGAAGCCACAGTCCCTTACGCCAATGGTTTTCAACCAGTGTGCCATGGCACCTTTGGGTGCCTTGAATGATGGTCAGGGGTGCTGTGGGCAACACTGTCCTCTGTCCCTCTTTCCTCCCCTCCCTCCTCTGATGCCCCCTTGAGTCTCTGCCTCCCAAAGGCTTGCACAGCTGTTTCTTGCAGCAGCCCTGGTTACAAGTTCCCCAGGCGAATGGTGTCTCTGATGCTGGCCAGGGGGTGCTGGTTGCCAGGAGCTGAGGTGGCCTTGGAGTAAGCAAGCAAGCGGGTGAGGGAGCCCAGCCAGATAGTCTGCCAGCCCTTGCTGTTGAGAATGGACAGACAAGTCCTAGGCCCTGTGGGGCAGTGTGAGGAAACACCTCTCTTTGGGTTGGGGGGGGTGCAGCTCAGAGACGAGGGGCAGCAGCAGCAGATGCCCAGAGGACTCCCAAAAAGAGGAGAGAGGAGGCTGAGGGCACACTCCACAAGGGAGGGTATCGAAAAAGGGTGAGAGGCTGCCATTTCTGCAGGAAGGGGTGACATAACTGGGCTCCTGGGCCCCACAAGGGAGATGCAGAAAGAAGGTAGTTGGTCAAGGGAGCCGTGGACTCAAAAACATTGGAAACCTCTGCCTTAAGCCCCCAAAATCTGAGAACATGGCAACTCAGCCTGCCAAGATGACCTTTCTGTTCTTTGGATAAGACATTGATGCAAGGGTAATTAAAATCCACTCCCTGACACCCCGTATTGCATCTGAGTTCTGCAAAGGGATCGTCACTCAGTTTCTCCCTGGGTCTGAGGAAAGGTATCATTTGCAAGTATTAATAGGATGCAGGGTTTATTTGCCTCAGTAAGCCGCCATCCTCTCTGTGCCTGGGTGTTGCCACCCAACATCCCATAGCTTCACGACTGATTCTCAGGCAGAACCTGTCTCCATGCTGGGGCCACACCCTGGCAATGCACGCACACCCTGCCTTTCCCTGTTTATGAGGGTTAGTCTGGATCCTTCCCCTGGAAAAAGGCTGTCTCTGTTTCGAGCCTATTTTTACTTTTGGGGAATGCCTTTTAAATGCTTTGTGAGTGTGCCCGCACTCAGCCTCATGCTCCTTATGCTCCACAACCTTTCTCCCTATCACTCTGGAAATTATGTATCTCTGTAATAACACTTTAAAAATTTTGTGTTGTGGGGAGCAGCTTACTTAAGAAGTAAGCTGGATCAGGCAAGTGGCCCATCTGGTCCAGAATCCTGTTCTCACAGTGGCAAATCAGATGCCCCTGTGGGAAACCAGGAAGCAGGATTCGAGCACAAGAGCAGCTCTCCCTTTCTGTGGTTTCCAGTAACTGGTATTCAGAATTATACACATCACTTAGGAAGACGGACAAACTAATATCAGTGTATTGGAAGAAGCAAAGATCACCAGTGTCGAAGCAATGATTCTTCAACATCAACTTTGTTGGACTGGTCATGTTGTGCAGAAGCCTGATCATCGTCTTTCAAAGCAACTACTCTATTCCAAACTTAAAAATGGAAAGCGTAATGCTGGTGGTCAACAAAAGAGGTTGAAAGGCTGTCTCAAGGCAAATCTTAAAAAATGTAGTATAAAAACTGACAACTGGGAAACACTGGCCTGTGAGCGCTCCAACTGGAGAACAGCCTTTACCAAACGTGTCATGGGGTTTGAAGACACTCGAACTCAGGATGCAAGGGAGAAACGTGTGAAGAGGAAGGCACGCTTGGCAAATCCACACCGTGATCAGCTCTCGCCTGGAAACCAATGTCCCCACTGAGGAAGGATGTGTGGATCCAGAATTGGCCTCCACAGTCACTTACGGACTCATTGTAAAAACCGTGTTTTTGGAAGACAATTTTACTCAGCAACGAGGGATCGCCAAAGAAGAAGAAGACTCAGAAGGATTGCTCCCTTCAATTGTGGAGTCAGAGCAGAGTCGCCATAGCTCGTAGGCATCAAAAGCCATGGACTGGCCTAATCCAGGCTTTCTCAAACTCGACCCTCCAGATGTTTTGGGCCTACAACTCCCATGATCCCTCGCTAGCAGGACCAGTGGTCAGGGATGATGGGAATTGTAGTCTCAAAACATCTGGAGGGCTGAGTTTGAAGAAGCCTGGTCTAATCCTCTTTTAAAAGCCATTGAGGCTGGCAGTCATCACTGCCTCCTGTGGGAGAGAGTTCCAAAGTCCAACTACACATTCTGTAAAGAAGGACATTCATTTCCATGCTCTGAATCTTCCAACATTCTGCTTCATCTGCTGTCCATGAATTCTAGTGTTAGGAGAGAGAGAGAGAGAGAGAGAAACTTTTCTGCATCCATTCTCTCCATGCCACGCATCATTTTATAAACTTACTATCATGCCATTTTATAAACTTCCATCACATAAATTTGTGTCGAAAGTGTGGGATATTAAGGAAAAAAATGGCAAAGTAGCAGAAGGCAGGGAAGGAGAAGATGGCAGTGAATAGATCTGCTCCTTTGAAAGCACCACTTTTTTCTGCAGATGGAATTGGGTGAACGTTTGATGGAGCCACACACAAAATGCCAGGAACCATGGGCTGATTTTTGCATGGATCCATGCATCTGTTCCCCACTTTCTTGAGCGCTGACCCTTGGTGTTGCCAGGGAGTATGGATCAAGCCAAAATGAACTGAAGGAGTCAAGGAGAATTGGACGCCACTGGTTTGCTCTGACTAGGATTTTGCTAGATGATTGAATATGGATTTGGTAGATGTGCCAAGATCCTTGAAGAAGGGTGTGGCAAAAATGATGATAAATGATTTAACAGGCACCTGAGCAAACCGGATTTCCAAATTGGTTTATGTCACAGCTGCAGAGGTAACCAGATGACCTCACTCTGCCTGATACTTAACACTTTGCAACTGCACAATGCTTGTTTTTTGGGGGGCGGTCAGGTTTCCGATAACCAAATGGTGCTCCATGATTGTGGGTTGAATCTGGGTGTATCCACACAGAGTTCAGCAAAAGCAATCATGTGACTGCTCCTGAGCACAGCCAAAATTGCAGGTCAGTCCAAATTTTAGCTTCTGCCACATTTGAAGAGCGGCCAAGGCAGGTTGGAGGGTGTTATGGAGCACGTCAGTCTTCCCACATGCTGCTCTGGGCTTCTTCTGCAGTGTGTGGTTTGCCCCTCTTGCGTGATTCATGTTCTGCTCTTGCCCTAACATCACTCCATCTTCTTGGATCATCATGGAGGTATAGATTGCCTAGGGTGTTTGATAAAAGGCAGGAGAGAGGGAGATCCTGGCTTGCAGAAAGAGCTAGATGCCCTGTCCTGAGGTTAATATTTCAGTAGCCCTACTCTGAACAAGGGACGCGGGTGGCGCTATAGGTTAAATCACAGAGCCTAGGGCTTGGCGATCAGAAGGTCGGCGGTTTGAATCCCCACGACGGGGTGAGCTCCCGTTGCTTGGTCCCTGCTCCTGCCAACCTAGCAGTTCGAAAGCATGAAGTACAAGTAGATAAACAGGTACTGCTCCGGCGGGAAGGTAAACAGCGTTTCCGTGCGCTTAGTCATGCTGGCCACATGACCCAGAAGCTGTACACCGGCTCCCTTGGCCAGTAAAGCAAGATGAGCACCGCAACCCCAGAATCGTCCGCAACTGGGCCTAATAGTCAGGAGTCCCTTTACAGTACCTTTACTCTGAACAAAACCTAAGTCAGGCTTCCTCAACCTCGCCCCTCCAGATGTTTTGAGACTACAATTCCCACCATCCCTGGCCACTGGTCCTGCTAGCAAGGGATCATGGGAGTTGTAGGCCAAAAATATCTGGAGGGCCTGACTGAGGAAGCCTGACTTAAGTGGACTCCTGCCTCTGCTCTTGATGAGAAGCCCATGGGGCACAGTGGGACAAGGCAGGCAGGTGTTTTAGCAGCAAGGTCGGCTCCAGGTGTCTTTACTCCTTCCAGCCTGTGCCCCTTCCTTGTGGTCCAGAAGGCCTTAAATGAGCTGGACTCTGACTTGAGCCTAGGATGCCTTCTCATGCTGCTCCTCTCTGGCAGTTTCCTTCGCAAATTCAAATGTCAACATGGGGAACTCAATCCCTGCCCTACATGGAGGAGCTTGATTCCTCAGAGGGTACCAGATTCATGTGCTGGATGCTATAGGTGCTGACTGGGGGCTCCTTGGCTCATGAGCCCCAGATCAGATAGCTTTGGACTGTGGCTCAGGCCTGATCCAGATGCTGGGATCAAGGTTGGTTTTTGACACCTCTCCCTCTGCTGCTGCTGATCTTCTGCATCTGGCCATCCCCTCTGCCTCCATGTCAGAATTTGAGCTCAGGTTTTTTACTTATTAAATCTGTATACAGCCCTATATCTGTAGATCTCAGGGTGGTTCACAACATAAAATTACAATAAATACAGCATATTAATAAAAACAAAGACAGCCCAATAACGCCCCCTTTCAGAAGGCATTTTCAAAGGCCTGGTTGAAGAGGAACATTTTTGCCTGGCACCTAAAGGTGTATAATGAAGGTGCCAGGTGAGTCTCCCTGGGGAGAGTATTCTACAAATGGAGCCACCACAGAAAAAGCCCGTTCTCATGTTGCCGCCCTCTGGACCTCTTGTGGAGGAGGCACACAAAGAAGGGCTTCAGACCCTATTTCAGACCTCAGGGTCTGGATAGGTTCATACGAAGGAAAGTGGTCCTTGAGGTATGTTTCCCACTAGGTTGCTTTCCTAGTATCCAGATCAAGTGAAGTAATAGCACTGCATTATTATGCCTCAATCAGGCCACACCTGGAGTCTTATGTCCAGTTCTGGGAACCACAGTTTAAAAAGGATGTTGACAAGCTGGAAGGTGTGCAGAGGACAACTAAGATGTTTAGCCTGGACAAGAGGAGGCAAAACAATAGCCATCTTCAAATATCTGAAGGGCTGTCCCATGGAAGATGGAGCCGCTTGTTTCTGCTGTTCCAGAGGGCTGGACCCGAACCAATGAATTCAAATGACAAGGAAGGAAATGCAAACTCAACATTAGGAAGAACTTTCTGAGGGCACGAGCTGTTGAACCGTAGAACAGACTCACTGGGAGGTGGTGGACTCTTCTAGTTTTTAACCAGCTATTGGGTGGCCTTCTGCCATGCTTTCATTGAGTTTCCTGCATTGCAGAAGTTTGGACTGGATGACCTTGGGTTCCCTCCCAACTCTACAACGCTGTGTTTCTATGATCTTCTTCCAAGCATGAGGAACTTTCATCTTGTGCAATCTGATGGCCAGGCGAGCCTCTGCTTGCCTTTCCGGCAACACCTCCTTGTGGAATGACAAGCCTTTTATATTGTTCAGAATCCAGACCCCAAGCCTGTTCCTCTCCCTTCCCAGAACAGCGTCCTGTGTGCTCTTCCCAGGCCTGCTCTTCCACTGGCCTCTGCCAGCGATGGAATTTAGGGCAGGGTCTCGACTGGAGCTTTTCCTTTGTAGTGGGTCTGCTCCCTGGCTGTGTGGTAAACATCATGGCAGGAAGAGGGTAGGGCAGCTCTCTCTCTCTCTCTCTCTCTCTCTCTCTCTCTCTCTCTCTCTCTCAACACCAGTGCCCTGTGGTGGCAACTTAAGGACAATTGCATTTATCCATTCTCTTAGAACCTCTTCCATCATCACCCCACACAACACACTATAGTGTCTATCTGTGTGTTTCTTAGGAACTGCATGTGTTTTTGTGCAAAGTTATTGATAGTATAATGCACTTTACATATGCTCATGTTATTTTTTTAAAAAAAATGTTTAAAAATATGTAAGCTATAGCCAAAGGTTGACAATGGAACAGATTATCTAAAGGGATTGTGGCCTCCCCCACACTGGGCAAGCCATATGTTGGGGGTGTTTTTGCTCTGGATTTCCTGCATCATTGAGTGGGAGGGTTGGGTAACAGGGACATCTCATTCTCTAGCCTATGCTTTTATTATACATATTCCTTGGCTGGAGAAAGGCATTGCAAAATTCAGAGAAGTGCAAAGTTCAAAGGACGGATGGCTGTGTTCCAGTTCCTGTGTTAGTTTAGAAAGTGGAAATTAATTTTTGCTGTTGTTTAGTCATTTAGTCGTGTCTGACTCTTTGTGACCCCATGGACCAGAGCACGCCAGGCACTCCTGTCTTCCGCTGCCTCCTGCAATTTGGTCCAACTCATGCTGGTAGCTTCAAGAACACTGTCCCACCATCTCGTCCTCTGTCGTCCCCTTCTCCTTGTGCCCTCCATCTTTCCCAACATCAGGGTCTTTTCCAGGGAGTCTTCTCTTCTCATGAGGTGGCCAAAGTCTTGGAGCCTCAGCTTCAGGATCTGTCCTTTCAGGGAGCACTCAGAGCTGATTTCCTTCAGAATGGAGAGGTTTGATCTTCTTGCAGTCCATGGGACTCTCAAGAGTCTCCTCCAGCACCAGAATTCAAAAACATCCATTCTTCGGCGATCAGCCTTCTTTATGGTCCAGCTCTCACTTCCATAGCTTAATTGTGAACAGAAATTAATTCAGTTGTGATACCTTTACAGCAGGGGGTTGGACTGGATGACCATTTGGGTCCTCCCCAACTCTACAGTGTTGTGGTTCTACAAATTCCTCCCCCTCTCTACTTCCAGATGACCTCTTTCTTGAGCATTTATCCTGATTTGTTTGCATAGGGTGTTCAGGGAAGCAACACCTTTTGTTTTATAGTGTTTTTAATATTCTGTTGGGGGCCGCCCAGAGTAGCTGGGAAAAGAAGAAGAAGAAGAAGAGTTTGGATTTGATATCCCGCTTTATCACTACCCTAAGGAGTCTCAAAGCGGCTAACATTCTCCTTTCCCTTCCTCCCCCACAACAAACACTCTGTGAGGTGAGTGGGGCTGAGAGACTTCAGAGAAGTGTGACTGGCCCAAGGTCACCCAGCAGCTGCAGGTGGAGGAGCAGGGAATCGAACCCGGTTCACCAGATTACGAGTCCACTGCTCTTAACCACTACACCACACTGGCTCTCAGCCAGATGGGGGGTATAAATATATTATATTGTTTTTATACTTGGTGTTAGGTGCTCAGTCTTGGCTGGGGAGGGCGGGGTATAAATAAAATTATTATTATTATTATTATTATTATTATTATTATTGTAATATAATGCCACCATTTCTTGAGCATCAGTTCTGTCTTGTTTGCTTTGAGGTCATGCAACATCCAGTAATTGCCACCCCACACTTTCCTGTGCCATTGCTTTCCTTATCAAAAAAGTCTGATTATTATGTTTTGGCAAAGTGGAGTGATTCACTTTAATTGTGCAACCTTGCACACAACTGCCTCTGAGGTCAGAGAAGGAAATGCTTCTGAATCCCACATTGTGGGAGAATGGTCTTGTGCTTGCCGGTTTCTCACACACATCTGGTTGGCCACTGTAAGAACAGGAAGCTGGGTTTTTAATGTATTTTTAATCTTTGTTGGAAGCCGCCCAGAGTGGCTGGGGAAACCCAGCCAGATGGGCGGGGTACAAATAAATTATTATTATTATTATTATTATTATTATTATTATTATTATTCAGACCCCCTTGGACCTGTTCCAGCAGACTCTTCTTTCATGTGAAATCTCTGGAGTGTGGCTGAATCCCACTCACAAAAAGCAACAACCTGGAAGGGGTCAGATGTAACTTACTTCCAAGTAGAAGCAGAAGGCGCTGTTTATGGATGCTCTGTTGTGAAGGAAAAGCTACTCGCTATTAACTTGGCTAAGGGATGCAGGTGGCATTGTGGGTTAAACCACTGAGCCTTGGCCTTGCCGGTCAGAATCCCTAAGACGGGGTGAGCTCCCGTTGCTCGGTCCCTGCTCCTGCCCACCTAGCAGTTCGAAAGCACGTCAAAGTGCAAGTAGATAAATAGGTAACACTCCGGTGGGAAGGTAAACAGGGTTTCCGTGCGCTGCTCTGGTTCGCCAGAAGCAGCTTAGTCATGCTGGCCACATGACCCGGAAGCTGTATGCCGGCTCCCTCGGCCAATAAAGTGAGATGAGCGCCGCAACCCCACAGTCTTCCAGGCCTGGACCTAATGGTTAGGGGTCCCTTTACCTTTTTATTAACTTGGCTATGAAACATTTCACATTTCTTCCATGGAAGGATGAAGGAGGCCTTTGGATATTAGAGGACAAATGCCAAGGAATGACTCCTCCATTTTGCTCCTCTTTGCCTATAGCCTAGTCCTAGGCAGGAAGGTCTGATCTGGAAAGGCTATCCCTATATGCTTGTTCTCCTTCTTGGTAGCACAACAAGAAATTTAGGCTTTTCTCAGCTCTAACCAAGACTTTGAATTGTGCCTGGAAAACACGGATGGGACAGAGTCAGGGTGCGGCTGGGGGTTCATTTTTATTTTTTTGCAGAAGCTGCTCCCTTTGGCCACTCTCCAGAGTCAGCCCTGTGTAAGAAATCTTTTATAAGCAGTTATCCTTTGAGCAGGAATCTGCCTTCAGTCTCTGCTAAAGGGAGGGGAGGGAGTAGCAGCCGGATGTGGGTAGCAGCAGGGAAAATTACCACATCAGAAATAACTTTTTGGGACGTCCAGGCTGATGACAACAATAAGTTTGGGGCAAGGCAGGGAGCGTGTTGATGAACCAGGAGGGCGTGCAGCGCTCCAAGTTTAAGAGTCACACGCTGTGTTACAAAAGCCTTTGAGTGCAACGTTTGGAGGAATATAAAATGCAGAACCGAATTTCCTGCGGGGATTTGGGACAGGGCTATTGGCTCAAGAGATTCTCCCCCCCTCCCCCACATAAGAACATATTAAGAGCCTGCTGGATCAGGCCAAAGGCATCCTGTTCTCAATGGTGGCCACACAGGTGCCTCAATGGAAAGTATCCAGAATCTGGCATTGCTGCCTCTGGCTGTGGAGGCAGAGCAGAGCCATCATTTCCTCCTGTGGCAGTGAGTTCCACCGTTTAAAATTATTTACAGCATAGACTACCCCACCCAGAACACAATGGAACGTCTAGTCCAGGCACAGGCAAACTCGGCCCTCCAGATGTTTGGGGACTACAACTCCCATAATCCCTGACCACTGGTACTGTTAGCTAGGGATGATGGGAGTTGTAGTCCCAAAACATCTGGAGGGCTGAGTTTGCCTATGCCTGGTCTAGTCCATGGGTGGGCAACCTTTGCCAACCTGATGCGCGCATCCTGTCATGGGTAACCTTCCAGTGATTGGCAGGGCCAGAGTAAAATACAAAACCTCTTCCAATCTGCTTTTCTCCTTGCAGGGGGAAAGATACGCATGTCTGAATTGGGGGGGGGGGGTTAGTGAAAGAAACCGCTGGCAGGCAAAAGCATTAAGCGCTTCCTGCTCCCTCCACAACCATTGGGCTCTCAATTGAACCCCCCCCCAAAAAACCCCGTGTGTTTCTTTAAGACTGGAGTTAGTTATGCACACCTGCACGTATCATCTGGCTCAGTCCTCGGAAAGCCCCATGGATGTTGCCATCCAAAAACATTTCTAGCTGGGGATTCCCACATGAGCTGGCTGCGCCGTGATTCATCCTGACTCCTTGCCTCTGTTCCTGGCAGTATCAGTTGCATCTCCATATCCCTGGCTGGTTTCATCCATCCTGCGCTGCCCTTGGGCAATACCAGCCCTTCTCCTGAAGTCTTGGGCTTTGCGGTTAGAGAGTTGCCAGTCCGCAGGTGCAGAAGCACCTGTGGCCACCTGGCTACCTCAAGGAGACCTCACAAAGACCACCTGGAGCACTTCTAGGAGGTTCTCACCTTGGCTTTCCCAGAGAACAAGAAGAACAACTTTTTGCTTTTCAGTTAGTTAGTTTCATGTTAAAATGCCAACCAAACTGATTTTCCCCCTCCACTTTCCATGGTGTTTTTGACCTGCTTTCCCATCTGTGACTATGATCCTGGCTCATGTTGACTTGACTGGAGAGCCAGGGCTCCTTCCAAATCCTCTCACATCCATTGAAGAATCTTCCTGTGAGTTCTCATCCCCCACATACACAGGCTTCTTTTGAACCTCCAAGGCAATCCTCTTAAGATCATGGTTGCGTATGGCTGCAGAGGAGGGCAACGAAATATGATCAAGCCATATGAGGAATGGTTGAGGGAATTGAGCATATATGGCCTGGAGAGAAGTGAGAGGTGATATGATTGTTGTTGTTTAGTTGTTTAGTCGTGTCTGACTCTTCATGACCCCATGGACCAGAGCACGCCAGGCACTCCTGTCTTCCATTGCCTCCCACAGTTTGGTCAAACTCATGCTGGTAGCTTTGAGAACACTGTCCCACCACTGTCCCCCCCAAAAAAATAAAAATATGTAAGCTATAGCCAAAGCTTGACAATGGAACAAATTATCTGAAGGGATTGTGGCCTCCCCCACACTAGGCAAGCCGTATATTGGGGGTGTTTTTGCTCTGGATTTCCTGCATCATTGAGTGGGAGGGTTGGGCAAGAGGGACATCTCATTCTCTAGCCTATGCATTTTAATACGTATTCCTTGGCTGGAGAAGGGCATTGCAAAATTCAGAGAAGTGTGAATTTCAAAGGACGGCTGTGTTCCAGTTCTTGTGTTGGTTTAGAAAGTGGAAATTAATTTTTGCTGTTGTTTAGTCATTTAGTCATGTCCGACTCTTCGTGACCCCCTGGACCAGAGCATGCCAGGCACTCCAGTCTTCCACTGTCTCCCACAGCTTGGTCAAACTTATGCTGGTAGCTTCGAAAACACTGTCCAACCATCTCATCCTCTGTCGTCCCCTTCTCCTTGTGCCCTCCATCTTTCCCAACATCAGGGTCTTTTCCAGGGAGTCTTCTCTTCTCATGAGGTGGCCAAAGTCTTGGAGCCTCAGCTTCAGGATCTGTCCTTCCAGTGAGCACTCAGGGCTGATTTCCTTCAGAATGGAGAGGTTTGATCTTCTTGCAGTCCATGGGACTCTCCAGAGTCTCCTCCACCACCAGAATTCAAAAGCATCAATTCTTCGGCTTTCTTTATGGTCCAGCTCTCACTTCCATATGATATGATATCCATCTTCAAATATCTGAAGGGCTGACGCATGGGAGATGGAGAAAGTTCCTTTTCTGCTGCTCTGGGAGGGAGGACCCGATCCAAGGGATTCAAGTTACAAGAAAGGAGAATACAACTAGACATTTGGAAGAACTTTCTGGCAGTGAGAGCTGTTCGACAGTGGAACGGGCCCCACTGGAACCTGGTGGACTCTTCTTCCTTGGAGGTTTCTAAACAGAGGTTGGATGGCCATCTGTCAGGGATTTTTTAGCTGTGACCCCTGCATTCCAGGGGGGGGGGTTGGTCTAGATGACCCCTTGAAGTACTTTCCAAATATTGTTGTTGTTGTTGTTTAGTCGTTTAGTGGTGTCCGACCCTTCGTGACCCCCTGGACCAGAGCATGCCAGGCTCTCCTGTCTTCCACTGCCTCCAGCATTTCCGTCAGACTCATGCTAGTAGCTTCGAGAACACTGTCCCACCATCTCGTCCTCTGTCCTCCCCTTCTCCTTGTGCCCTCAATCTTTCCCAACATCAGGGTCTTTTCCAGGGAGTCTTCTCTTCTCATGAGGTGGCCAAAGTATTGGAGTCTCAGCTTCAGGATCTGTCCTTCCAGTGAGCACTCAGGGCTGATTTCCTTCAGAATGGATAGGTTTGATCTTCTTGCAGTCCATGGGACTCTCAAGAGTCTCCTCCAGCACCATAATTCAATTCTTCGGCGATCAGCCTTCTTTATGGTCTAGCTCTCACTTCCATACATCACTACTGGGAAAACCATAGCTTTAACTATACGACTTTCCAAATCTACAGTTCTATTATTCTCTAGGAGAACTTTAGATCTGCCTTTAATCCCTCAGCCGTGTCTTCTGCCAAAGTGTAGCTGTTATGTGGGTGGTATTTTTGCACATCTTCCTGGGAAGTCAGAATTCCAGAGATCTCTGCTACTGACCAGCAGCGTCATGTGTGGCCTTAAGGTAGCCTGAGCCTCCTTTACGGTCATCTGGAGGGTTGGCGGTCCTTGTTTACCCAGGTGTTATAGGAAGCCGTCCATTTGGTCCTCGATTTGCTCACCCAAATGACTTAGGTATGTGTGTGATAAGTGTTAGGTTTGGCCTCAAGTCATTTCTAAAAGATGGTTTGCCTACAATTAACAGGTTTTGCCCCATAACTCATTTCCTGGGTTCTTGTTTTTATAATGCTTACCTTCTCGAAAAGTGGTTGTTCTGGTTTTCTTAGGCATTTTGGTTGTGTGTTTTGCTTCTTTGTTTCCCTAAGGAGTATAAAGCTTAGCTTCAAAGATAGGAAAACTGTTTTAGTTGAGATTCCTGCATTGCAGGGGGCGGTTAGACTAGATGACCCCAAAGGAAACGTTCCAATTCTACGATTTTCAGTGCCGCTCCCATCACAGCTCTAAAAACACAACAACAAGATTTGCACATTCTCACTCTCGTTCCTCAGGTCTGTGGAACATCTGGGATTCAAAAAATGCCATTAGATTGATATCAGTGATGTTTCTTGTGGCATCAGTAGGGGAAAGGCACAGTTCTGCCATAAGGAGGTGATGGGTGATGATAACTTCAAAATCAGCCCCCTTCTCCCTCCCTTCTCCTCCTGCTGCATTGCAAATCGCTTGGGTTAAAATCACCAAAAGAAGACTCGCAGACATAAGTGGAGGAGAGATTGCATCCATTAAGCCATAACAAGTTGGAGGAACTGCATGCAAGCAATTAACCAAATTAACAGAATTTAATTAACCAAATTAAGAGAATTACAGGCAGGAAGGCCTTTGCTAACTCCAGCAGGGAAACATCCCTCGAGCTCTCTTGGCACAGAACCAGAGAATTGTAGAGTTGGAAGGGACCCAGTGGGTCATCTAGTCTAACCCACATAGTCAAACCATGGAACTCCCTCCCACTGGAGTCAGTGATGGCCCCCAAGTCAGATGGCTTTGAAAGAGGATTGGACACATCCATGGAGGAGGAGAGATCCTGCTCACTGGTTTCCCACAGGCAACTCTTTGGCCACCGTGAGAGAAGGATGGGTCCATGGCCTGATCCAGTGGGCTTTTATTATGTTCTTATGTAGGAATCACAGCTAATGCAGCCACCAGGTGTGACTCCCCAGTTGAGGACGAACCTCAAAGATGAGCCTGGCAAGGGCACCTAAAGGCAACTGCAAAGTCCAGCAGACATAAGCACGGCCCAATCATGCCTCGGTTTACCTGCTGTTTTCCTTCCCGCTTCCTTCCCTGCCGATATTTATGGCCAGCAGTAAGCCGCCATGCCACACAATTGCCTAAACGGCAGTCGACTTTGTCCCTACAATGTGGGATAGGCAAAAAAATGAGGGAACTTCAGGTCAAGAAGGAATTGCCCCTGCAAAAATTCCTACTTCAATAGTCTAAGAAGGACAGGAAGGTGCTATAAAGCAGAAAGCAAGAGGCAGGAGAGGCGTCAATTTATAAATTGAGTTTTACCCTCCACCCCCCAATTCTCCTTTTGGCCTCACGTGGACATCCACCTAACCCCTTCCATCCAGGAAGGTCAGAAGCACTCTTCTCTTCTTCAGCTGTGGCTCTTGAACTGAAAGGGTTCGGAATAGGTGAACTTTGGGGGGGGGGTCCCTTCCAACTCTACAACTCTACGCTTCTTTCTAGGGTCAGAGTGAGGTCAAACACACTCCCACAGCTTAATATCCTATGCACTTTTTTAAAAAAATTGTAGAGGGGGGCTATTGGGATGTTTTCATTGTTATTATATATGTTTTATTATGTATTCTTTGAACCGCCCTGAGACCCTCAGGTATAGGGTGGTATATAAATAATGATAATGATACCAGGGATGGCATTGCTGGGGTCATAAGCCCCCCTGCTGGCCAAAGGATGAGGATGATGGATTTCATTTGCACCCCATCCTTCCTGTAAGGAGGTCTCAGAGCAGCGTACAGAGTGCATGCGGAAACAGACTCCCGCTGGGTTCAGTCTGAGCTGCTGAAATCCTCCAAATCATTGCGCCTTTTCATCTTTGGAAGTGAACAGCTTAGAGCCAACACCCTAAACAAAAACAAAAAAAGCACAAACTCAGAGCAAATAAAAAACTTTTTACAAGATGAACCGGATCTTGTGAACCAAACAAGTCCAAACCCCTTTATAGGCAAAGCTGAAGAAGAGGCCAGAGGCAGAATTTTGTTCTCGGCTTCAAGGAATCCGGATGCAAGCATTCCCTGCTTTTTAAAAATAATTGTGTGGGACATCGCTCCCCTTACACCACCCCCCATAATGTTTGCTCAGAAATCGGCCCCACTGAGTTGAGAGGGACCGAGTACCTTGGCAGGATCACAGCTGTTGTTCAGGAGTTCACGGGGGCACACACCCAAAGGTGGCTTCTGTTCCTCTCCAAAAATCACCTCTTGGTTTGCCTGAGTGATTGGGCTGACCAGGTCAAGAGGACCAGTCCCTCAAGCAGCTAGGCCAGCACTTTTCTTAAACTGCAGGAGGGGCTAAGAAGCCCCTCTGGTGCTCTCTGTGACACACATGAACTTTCTTAATGAAGAATGGAAGGAGCTGGAAGAGAACTTTTGGCTTTCTACAGTTCACTGCTGCTGTATTCTGGCAGGAATTTATTTGTCTTAACATGACAGTATTATAGAATAGTAGAGCTGGAAGGAACCCCAGAGGCCATCTGTACCCTTCAGGTGTCTCTCTATTTTCCAGGGATAGTCCTGGATTACGAAAGCCATCCTGGTTTCTGATTTGATCCCAGAAGGTCCCTATTTCCCCTGCTTGTGCAGAGTTTGGGCCAAGGGAGTGCGTAGACCCTTTGTAAGCAGAGGTCTGAATCTGAGAGAGAGAAAGATGGCTTGCTGCGTATCTTCTGGTGCACTGCTGTTGATATAGTCTGTATCTTTTGCAGGGCTTTCGTAGGCAAATTGTGACTCAGTTTCTCCATCGTTCTAATGGGAAGTAGGTTGATCCACCTCCATCAGTGATGAGCTCATTGACTTGGAAATTTGTCCTGGCTCCAGCAACTTCAAAGAGGGTGGCTCATATCAGAATACAGCCGGTGGTTGCATTCCTAGATTCGCATACCTAGGTGTGAACCCCATTGAATTTAGTGGGGCTTACCTGTACGTCATGTGGATAGGATTGCGCTGTTAAAGGATTAAGCCACTTGCTAAACGAATTCAGAGGCTATTTAAAAATAAATGAAGGATTAACATTGGAAATGTTTTATTTTTGAACCAACCAAAGAATGCAGTACAATGTGAGATCATTACTCCTCAAACTTCAGAGCATGGGAAGTCACTCAAAGATATAAAATTTGGCATAAAATTTGGTCTTTTGGATTGTATTATAATTCAGAATGTACTTAATGTGGTTTTTATTGGATTGTTAATATGGAATACTTTTATTTTTTTTAAAAAAGGATCTTGCTGTTAAGGTGACAAGCCATCGTCATCACTGGTGTAGTGCCTAAGGGTTAGAATGGCTTAATACATCGCCATGAACACATCACTCACTTATATAAGGTTTTAATAGCTATCCCTTCTGCAAGCATGACTGCGGAGAAGTATCTGTGAAGATGCAACTCCCTATCTGCATAATTATTACATGCTTGGGACCTTAGATGCATTTGAAACAAGCACACAAGTATCAGGAATCTGCCTTCAGAATGCTGAATCAACTTGTGGAGCAAATGGGATGATAAAGGCATCTTGGAGAGACGCAATGATATCTCCCCTTTGCTCAAAGATGATCTTGGCGTCTTAGAATCATAGAATCATAGAATCATAGAGTTGGAAGAGACCACAAGGGCCATCGAGTCCAACCCCCTGCCAAGCAGGAAACACCATCAGAGCACTCCTGACATATGGTTGTCAAGCCTCTGCTTAAAGACCTCCAAAGAAGGAGACTCCGCCACACTCCTTGGCAGCAAATTCCACTGTCGAACAGCTCTTACTGTCAGGAAGTTCTTCCTAATGTTTAGGTGGAATCTTCTTTCTTGTAGTTTGGATCCATTGCTCCGTGTCCGCTTCTCTGGAGCAGCAGAAAACAACCTTTCTCCCTCCTCTATGTGACATCCTTTTATATATTTGAACATGGCTATCATATCACCCCTTAACCTCCTCTTCTCCAGGCTAAACATGCCCAGCTCCCTTAGCCGTTCCTCATAAGGCATCGTTTCCAGACCTTTGACCATTTTGAGCAACACCTGTTGCCCTTGCAGTGTTCCAACATTGGGCAACTGTTCACATCCTGCAGTATCATCCCTCCTGCCTTATCTAATCTCACAGGAGCCGCCTGCCCGGATCTGGTTTCTTATCTGTGCCAGCCTAAAATTGCATCAGGAGGAAAATCCAGGGGATATTTTACTATAATCAGAAAAGTCTCCCCATGTCGTGGCGGCACTATAGGCGGTGATAAATTTAGTCCGGGGGTGGACACACGGCAGGTCAGGGACTTTGGCTGTGATTCCTGTACTGCAGGTGGTTGGGCTAAATGGTCCGTTGGGTCCCTGCCAACTGCGCAGTTCTATGATTCTACGTCTAGTTGGTTTCCAGCAAGTCTCCTGGTGCTGAGATTCTTGCAAAACAGGATGATGGGTTTTGGTGCACCTGCAGACGGGACCTTAAAAGCATAGAATCCTAGAATCGTAGTGCTGGAAGGGACCAAGTGGGTCATCCCAGGGGGGTCTAACCCCCCTTGCAATTCAGGAATCTTTTGCCCAGTATGGGTCTCAAAGCCACAACTCTGTGTCCAGATGCAGGGCTCTTGCCACATTCCTATGCTATTCTGCAGCATGACTGCCAGGTGGCCTGAATGGATCAGTGGTCTGACTCATAAGAAGACCCTGTTCTGGACCAGGCCAATGATGCATCGAGGCCAGCATCCTGCTTTTGCAGTCGCCACCCAGACCACAAGCAGGATCCGGGCACAGCTATTACTTTATTATTTATTCAATCTCTATATTGCCTTTCCTCCAAGAATAACAGGGCGGGTTACAATATAAAAACACAACAGTGCATACCACGGCAACACACGAAAGCCATAACCCACCACACACCCAGCTTCGAAGGCTGCAGATTCTTTAATTAGCCAAAGGCCTGGGAGAAGTGGAATGTTTTCGCCTGGCACCTAAAGATATGTAATGAAGGCGCCAGGCAAGTCTCCCTGGGGAGAGCATTCCACAAATGGGTGCCACTGCAGAAAAGGCCCCGTTTTGGTGTTGCCACCTTCTGAACCTCCTGCAGAGGAGGCACATGAAGAAGGGCCTCAGAGGATGGTGTCAGGGTCCAGGTTGGTAGTCATATGAGGAGAGGTGGTCCTTGAGGAGCCCTCTGCCCTCCTGAGGCTTTTGGCAACAGGTGTTCAGGAGCGTTGCTGCCTCCGAGTGTTGGCCACCCATAGCTCTGTCCTGCAGGACTTGGCATTAAGTGGTTCCCTGTCTTCTTTTGCAGCTATTCTCCAGGGAACTCGGGCTTTGATGGTGGCCTCCATCCTCTTGGGGCTCATCGCCTTCTCCATCTCCTTAATCGGAATGAAGTGCATGAAATGCATGGAGGACGACCAGGTCCAGAAGATGAGGATGGCCATTATCGGAGGCATCTTCTTCCTGGTTGCAGGTCAGTAGCATCTCTCTCTCCCCTCGGACAGTTGTTTTCTCGAGGGCAAGGGGGAACTGGATGGGGAAGACACCAGAGGGGAAGACCGCAAGATGGTTGACTCACTGCCTGCCTTTTCTCTCTCATCTCCATCCACAGGATTTGCCGCCCTGGTGGGGACTTCTTGGTATGGAAACGAAGTCGCACGCCAATTCTTCGACATTTACACGCCTGTCAACACCAGGTAAATGCTGCCCTCATGCAACCGGGCTGGGTTAAAGGTGTGGTGATGTCTCCTCGTTTGCTTCCAGGACCCAGGTGGCAAAAAGTTGTTGCCCTGGACAACCCGTCTAAGCTTGCCAGGATTTGCCGAGCTCCTGTGAAGAGGGGGCAATGCTTCTGAGTTCCAGGTGCTGGGAACCACGGGAGGGGATCATAAGAACATAAGAACAGCTGGCTGAATCAGGCCAATGGCGCCTGTAATCCAGCATCCTGTTCCCACTGGGGCCAAACAGAAGCCTGTGGGAAACCGGCAAGCAGGATTCAAGCACAAGAGCAGCTTTCCCCTCTTGTGGTGTCCAGCAACTGGGATTCAGAAGCATTGTGGAGGCAAAGCCAAGCCATTGTGGCTATCAGCCACCCACAGCACTCTCCTCCATGAATTTTTCTAGTTCTCTTTTAAAGCCATTTTGGTTGGTGAACATCACTGCCTCCTGGGGGAGGGAGTTCGATAGTTTAACTATGGAACATAACACCGGTCATGAAAGATCAACATTGGCTCCCAGGACGTTTCCGAGCACAATTCAAAGCGTTGGTGCTGACCTTTAAAGCCCTAAATGGCCTCAGCCCAGTAGACCTGAAGGAGCGTCTCCACCTCCATCATTCTGCCCGGACGCTGAGGTCCAGCACCGAGGGCCTTCTGGCAGTTCCCTCATTGCGAGAAGCAAAGCTACAGGGAACCAGGCAGAGGGCCTTCTCGGTAGTGGCCCCCTCCCTCCCATCAGATGTCAAAGAGGTAAACAACTACAGTGGTACCTCGGATTACAGACACTTCAGGTTACATACTCTTCAGGTTACAGACTCCGCTAACCCAGAAATAGTACCTCGGGTTAAGAACTTTGCTTCAGGATGAGAACAGAAATCATGCTCCGGCGGCGCAGAGGCAGCGGGAGGCCCCATTAGCTAAAGTGGTGCTTCAGGTTAAGAACAGATTCAGGTTAAGAACAGACCTCCAGAACGAATTAAGTACTTAACCCGAGGTACCACTGTACCTAACATTTAGAAGACAGCCCTGTTCAAAGAAGTTTTTAATGTGTGACATTTTAATGTATTTTTAATCTTTGTTGAAAGCCGCCCAGAGTGGCTGGGGAAACCCAGCCAGATGGACGGGGTACAAATAATAAATGATGATGATGATGCTCTGTGTAACAACAACAACAACAATTTATTTATTGTACCCCACCCATCTGACTGGGTTTCCCCAGCCGCTCTGGGAGGCTTCTAAAAAATATAAAAACACCATAAAATGTCAAACATTAAAAGCCTCCTGATATAGGGCTGTCTTCAGATGTCTTCTAAAGTTGTGTAGTTCTTTATCACCTTGACATCTGATGGTAGGGCGTTCCACAGGGCAGGCGCCACCACCGAGAAGGCCCTCTGCCTGGCTCCCTGTAACTTCACTTCTTGAAGTAAGGGAACTGCCAGAAGGCCCTCAGCGCTGGACCTCAGTGTCCAGGCAGAATGATGGGGGTGGAGACACTCCTTCAGGTATACTGGGCCGAGGCCGTTTAGAGAAAAAGAAGTGAAGAAGTCCTTATTTTTATCTGTCCTGAAACTTCCAACCTTCATCTTCATTGGATGTCCCTGAGTCCTTGCGTTATGAGAGAAGGAGGAAAAGGGACTGTAGGCAGGTCTAGGCAGGCGAAACATTACACTGCAGCCAAGAGGGAGGGACAACCTCCTCTTCCTTTTGTACATCCTGCCTGCCAAAGAGAGTTTTGTGGCTTCGCAACTTGCATCCTGCATGTTAACATCAATTCATCCTAAACTAAGCGATCCCTTGTGACCCAGTCCGCGTTCCACACCGAAGGGAATATCTCTTGCCACAAATGCTGGAGCAAGTTTTCATACCTCCCCTCATCCATGGCTGATCATTTATGATCACAGTATTAACGCGGATGAATCAGACCAATGCATTGTAACTGAATCACAACACCTGCCCCTGAACGCCTGCAAGTCTCGTCCTGCTTTCAGGACGCTTGTGAAAGCCCCGAGTGACTATCATACATAGCTGTACATATCCAGCTGTCCCAGACGGATGCGAGGAGACCATGGCACCTCACACAAAACATATGTGGAGTTATGAATAGGAATGTTATTTATTCGTATAGCTGAAGCTGTTCCAAAAAGCCAAAATAGACAAAACAAAATAAAACGCATCGCACAGTTAAAATAATAATAATTATTTTATTATTATTATTATTATTATTATTATTTTCAAGTTGAGGTAGAATTTTTTTTAAAAAATAATAATTTTTATTAAGTTTTACACTTTTATATTCATCACAATAACATTATCTAAAAAAGAAAAATAAATGCCGTTCTCCAATCTCCCCTCCCACGACTTCCCTCAACTTCCTCTTCTGGTTTATTACACAATAACTTCTCTTGCTTGTTTTATTATAACTTAACATTGCATTCTTTAAGTTAAATATTTTTATATTCTTATCATTTTTATACCTCAACAATTTTCTAAATGCCTCTTATACTTGGTTATTTTCTAATTCTTACACCTTGCTTTTTATCTTTATTTTGTTGGTTGTAAGTGTTTACTCAAACCCTGCTAGTGAGTCCACTTCCTTACAATGTTTCTATAAATACAACATAAACGGTTTCCAGTCTTTTTAAAAGTCTCTATTGCCCTTATCTCTAAGTTTTCCAGTTAACTTGGCCATTTCCGCATACTCCATCAGTTTTTCTTGCCATTCTTCTTTGGTTGGTATCTTGTTGTCTTTCCCTCTTTGGGCTAGTAATATCCTAGCCGCTGTTGTAGCATACACTTAAAATAATTATTTAAACCAGGCATTCTGTGAGATAAGAGCTTGCTCCCCTGAAGAATTTAACTTACCCCTCTAACTTTTCTTAAAATTGTCCCCCTTAAAACAGGCCGCTTTTCCAGAAGTGTAAAGGGAGACCTGTCCCCCTATAAGAAGTTAATCAGATACCCATTTCATCTCTCAACTGAGAGATTTAAACCTTTGACCAAGGCTTCTCTTAAGCCCTTGTAGGTTGGGCAAACCATTAAGAAGTGGGGTGAGTCTTCATGCACTGGAAAGGGAAATGCAATTAATGGTTAGCTATTGTTGGTGGTGATTAATTGGTGGTTTTCTTTCCCCCTTCTCCTCTTCTCCCAGATATGAATTTGGACCCGCTCTCTTCATCGGCTGGGCAGCTGCGGCCCTGACCATCCTGGGAGGGGGCTTCCTGTGCTGCTCCTGCCCTCGCCGCGAAACCACCTACCCACCGAGCCGGCCGTACCCCAAGTGCGCCCCCTCTTCCGGGAAAGATTACGTATAACCCGGAATGGAGGCAGAGCAAATTGCTTTGGCATTTAAGAAACCAAAGGGACACTGACTTCTCGTTGTCCTTCGGAAAGCAGGGCATGTGCCTTCGCCCCCTCGCCCTGCTCTCCCTGGCGTAAAACAAATGCGTATATTTATATCGATGCCATTCATGTGTAGCCATTTCTGCTCCTGCATGGGCAAATTCGTCCCCATCCTTCCGACAGATGAGGAGGCCCCAAACATGTACATAGCTGCTGTGAAATGGCACCAAATGTATTCCCTTTCCTTGAGGGTATGAGACAGGCAGCCCCACCACCTCCCCCCAAATATCGTTTGTGTATTCCCTCTTTATTCCCTTCCTATGTTAGGGCACTCAAGCACGGGCCTGCCGCCTCATTCTGCTTTTCCTTTGTATATATTTCGACGCTGAAGCGGCAGAAGGGGCACAGGTCCAGCGCAGGAGGCCAGAGGTTTCAAAACCTTGAATGAGGGTCTGCTTGAAGAATCTGTTTGAATGCATGGATGTGTTGGGTTTCTGTTCCTCTCCCCAATCCCCCCAACCCTTTGCCAAAGAGTAGTTGGGCCCCAGAGTGGCCCCGGTCCTCCTGCTTTTCCTGCATCCACAGAAGTAAGGCATAAGGCCTCTGGTCAGAGAAGATGACCATGTTTGAATTCCCCCAAGGTCCTTGGCTAAGGAGACCCCATTCCACAGCTAAGGGTGGACCTAAGGAGTTGGCCTCTGAGATTTTGCTGCCTGAGGGCAAGGGCAAGAAGGGGGCATGGATGCCTCAGGTCCAGGTTTGAGTTACAGCATCATAGAATTGTAGAGTGGGGAGGGACCCTCAAAGGTCATGTAGCCAAACCCCCTGCAATGCTATAGAATTGGCCAGCCTGAAAAATCTCCAATGAAGGAGAGTCCACCACCTTCCATTGTTGAACGGCTCTTAGACTCAGAAAGTCTTTCCTTGTGTAGACGGAATCTCCTTTCTTGTAACTTGAATCCATTGGCTCAGGTCCCCCCCTCCAGAGCAGCGGAAAAACAAGTTTGCTCCATCTTATAAACATAATAATCTTCCACATGAAAAGTCCTTCAGACACTTCCCTGTCTCTCATAAAACTCCCTGGGTGACCGTGATAAAGACTGAAGATCTGCCTGCACCTACTTGGGAGTAGACCCCCTTGACACCAGTGAGATTTACTTCCCTTCTCTCTCTATCAAAGCCTGCCTCCTAACCCTCCCCAGTTTGTGGTTCAGTCCAAATTTCTCCCTGCCTGTCTGTATTAATTGGCTAAACTTCAGTGCCTGTGTGATGGCAGGGTGGGTTGGGAGCTTATCTATGAGGATGTTGTATAAAGTGTTGACTGTTTTCAATAAATGTAACCTTTTCCTTTTTTTAAAGAAACCATGTCTCTGTTTTGCTACTTATTTTTTATATATATACTTGTACCTGAAGAGAGAATAAAGAAAAAGAAATCAAACTTTGTTGGGAAATCACTCTTTGGGTGGCTTCCTCTAGAGTTGCAAAGTAGCCTGACTAGGAAATTGGCCCATGAGATGTCCTTACAGTAGATTAGGACAGGAAAAAGGAAGCCTTCTTCACCAGACATGGTACATGGCCAATGGTCATCTACAGAGAACTGCATTGAGCACTGCTGCTGCAGCCTCCAATGGTTTATGATCAGATTTGGTTGGCCCAGTCCCAGTCCACCAGTCCTAGTCAGCACTTGTTCTAAAACAGGATGCAATTTGCAACGAAATGTGCACCCAGGTGGAAGGAGCTGACCCAACGTTTGAACCTTGGAGGAAAGATAGGCTGAGCCCAAAGTGAGGCCTGGAGGAAGCTGATCAGGAAGGGAAGCAGAGTCAGAGCAGGGAGCAGAGATGGTACTGGTCTGGAGATAAGAGTGGAGTCCAAGACAGGTCCTTCAGCACCCTGGACAGATCTCAGGGAAGAGACACAAGGGCTACTGCAGCCCAGCCAGCATAGCCCACTAATGAGAGTTACCATCCAAAACATCTGGAGGACATCATATTGAAGTATATACTGTGCCAGCTGCCAACTGAGGACTTTCATAGTTCTTCAGCCTGACTTTCCCACCTTCCAGGAGAGGAGAAATCATTAAAGGGGAAACCCTCTGGTCTGGAGCCTGTCTGTCCATGGTCATGTTTTCTGTAGCGATGAGCAGATTTAGCAAGGAAGACAGGGGGATGAGGAAGAGATGCTGGTTCCTTTGAGAACCTAAGAAGATCCTGCTGGATCCGGCCAATGGCCCATCAAGTACAGCATCCTGTTCTCACAGCAGCCAACTAGATGCCTTAATTAAAATTAAACAAATGGCAGTCCTCAGGTTAAGTTGAAAGTGGTTAATACTCACCAGGACCAACTGATATTATAAGGACCTGTGAGCGAGCTGGGAAACCTCCTTCGTGCTTGTTCTTATACAAAGAGAAAATGAGTCAGATTGAACCCTGGCCAAAGGCCCTGGTCTCTTGTGAGAGAGCGTTCCACCAGGCTGGGGCCACAACCAAAAAGGCCCTGGCTCTGGTCAAAGCCAGTCTGACCTCCCTGGGGGCCGGGATCTTCAGGGTGTCATTATTAGCAGACCGTAGGGTCCTCCATGGGACATACCAGGAGAGGCGATCCCGTAGGTACGAGGGTCCCTGTGAAGGCAACAAATGGGCATCCTGGCTTGTAGCCCCTCCACGAATTTGTCCAATCCTCTTTTAAAGCGATCTGAGTTTATAGCTTGGCTCAGGGCTGCAGTCCCCAGAGATCTGAGACTTCTCCTCTGTGCAGCAAGCAATTCCTCCCCCACCTCAACCCCATTTCAAGTTGCAGGGGGTGGAGTAAGGGTGGTGTGGCATCCCTGCTCCTTCTATTCCTCACCCTCTGCGGCCGGATTTCTGCCATCATTTCCTGAGCCCCCTCCTGCTGCCACGCTGGCAACCGAGCCAACCACCACAGTAGCCAGTTCTGCAATCTGCCCACCGCAGCAGACACTTCTGCATTCTGATTTCCAGACAGGGAGAAGTCTAGAAAGCTGCAGAAACAGACTAGAAAGTGAGAGCAGAGTGTTCCTGCTCCCCAGACAGCTCCCTTGCTGCAGACAAGAAGGCCAGAACAATTGGCCAGAAATATCTGCAGACAATTAGCCGGAAATATCTTCCTTATTGAGAAAGTCTCTTGACCTTCTGCTGCCACTTTGCAGCACTCATGGAAATTTACGAAATGAGTGCCTGATCAGAACGAGATGTTCTAGTCCAGACAAGGCCTGTAGTTCTCCTTTGGTTTGGTCAGCCATGGATGGAATTGGAGCTCTTAGTAATTAGGGTAGGGTTACCAGACGTCCCCGGTTCCCGGGGATAGTCCCCAGATTTGCAAATCTGTCCCCGGACAAATTCCTTCCCCAGAATGTCCCCAGATTTGCAAATCTGTCCCCAGAAAACGTGGCAGCGGCAACCTCAGCATCCCGGAGCCAGCCTGGTAGCGCAGTTCATAGAATCATAGAATCATAGAATCATAGAGTTGGAAGAGACCACAAGGGCCATCGAGTCCAACCCCCTGCCAAGCAGGAAACACCATCAGAGCACTCCTGACATATGGTTGTCAAGCCTCTGCTTAAAGACCTCCAAAGAAGGAGACTCCACCACACTCCTTGGCAGCAAATTCCACTGTTGAACAGCTCTTACTGTCAGGAAGTTCTTCCTAATGTTTAGGTGGAATCTTCTTTCTTGTAGTTTGGATCCATTGCTCCGTGTCCGCTTCTCTGGAGCAGCAGAAAACAACTTTTCTCCCTCCTCTATGTGACATCCTTTTATATTGGCTCTGGCTGGCTTCAGGAGCTGCTTGCTGCTGTGATGCCGGCCATTGTTCCTCACTGGAAGTCCCCATACCATGTGTATTGTGCACAACACATCATATGGGGACTTCCAGTGAGGAAAAATGGCAGGTGCCACAGCAGCGGGAACAAGCAGCTCCTAAAGCCAGCCAGAGCCAACTGCGCTACCAGGCTGGCTCCGGGATGCTGAGGCTGCCACTGCTGCCACCACTGCCGAAGGGGAAACGGGGACATCCGGCGGTACAGATCTCCTGCCCCCTTCCCCCTTTGTTTTGACTGATTGGGGGAGGCTCGGGAGTCACGACCGGCCATTGCCCAGTTTTTGAAAAAAACTCTGCGCATTTATGGGTGCGAAAGAAGGACTTTGCACTTTTATACACTCTGCATGTGTGCTTAGGCCCAGGGTCTTTTGCCTCACCATCCCCACTACTGACTCCTTGTTGCTACTCAGCTTCAAAAGAAAAAAAGGGTCCCCGGATTCATTGGAAAAAATCTGGTAACCATAAATTAGGGCTCTAGAGGTGGGGCTCCTGCTTAAGTGTGGACCTTGGCAGATGCCCAGCTATGCTGGCCTCTGAAGCTACCCCGATCCCTCTATCTCATCACTTCAATTTGTTTTCCTCTGATACCAAACTGAGCCAGGGGTGTGTGTTGGAAGCAACAGAGCAGGCATCCCCAAACTCTGCCCTCCAGATGTTCTGGGACTACAGTTCCCATCATCCCTAGCTAACAGGACCAGTGGTCAGGGATGATGAGAATTGTAGTCCCAAACCATCTGGAGGGCCTAGTTTGGGGATGCCCGCAATAGTGCATGAAAGAGAAAAGTGCGGAGAGCTCAGTTCCCTCATGTCACATGAGCTTTTTGATGTAGAACCCCCATTTTAGACCCGAATCGGGAATGCAGAGATATTTTATAGAGTCAGCTTTCTCTAAACGTCTCCTGGGCTCTGGGCTCCAACTCCCTCAATCTTGGGAGATGTGATTGGTGTCAGCCAGGGACAGGGCCTTTTCTGTGGTGGCACCTGCCCTAAGGAATGCCTTTCCAAGTATGGTCCACCTGATCCCATCACTTCTGTGCTCCTGGTATTTGGTGAAGACCTCGCCTTTGAGAAGGCTCTTGGTGAACTTCTCTGTTATTTTTTCTGCTGCTGGACTCTGTTAAGTGTCTCCTATAAATTTGAAAACATTGGGAGCAGGGTGAGGTATGTTTTATTCTGCTTTCCTCACTGTCTTTCTACATCTGCTTGATGAAAGGGGTGGGACCAGAACGCTTAAAATTAATTAATATGATTTGGCCTTACATGGGCTCACCTCCCAGACCCTCTAACTGTCCCCATTTTCCAGGGACGTCCCTGATTTAGAGAAGCCATCCTGGTTTCTGATTTGATCCCAGAATGTCCCGCTTTTCCTTAAGTTGTCCCTATTTTCACTGGAGAAATGTTGGAGGGGATGGAGTTATCCAACACTCTGAAGGCAATCCTGTATAGCTGTGCTGGGCCCAGGGGTAACCCGAGAACCGTGGTCCAGGTCGGGTCCAGAATCCGTAGGTTCCACTAGGAGTCAGTCCAACAGGGCCAAGGCAGGTCACCAGACAGGAAACCAGGCAAGGTCAGGCACAGGGTCTCAGACAGGTTCCAGCAAGCAGCAATGTTGCTCCCGCGACCTGGGGCGGGGTCCGACAGCCTTTTATCTTTGTCAGGGTAACGGCTGATCCCAATCCCCCGGCAACTCACCTCCCTGTCTCGCCCGAAGGCGAGCACTCCTCCTGCGAGTAGTCAGGTCTCTCCTTCTCTCAGACCTGAGTCTCTGCATCTCGGGAGACGTCGGTGGGTGACTAGACCCAGGGGCCGCCTCAGCCTCCCCTGACCCAACTGGTAGTGGAGCAGCTGTACGCGATGGCCCAGCTGGAGGCAACGAGGTCATCCCCGCATCTGGAGCCAGGACAGGCTCAGGCCCCTGACTCGGCCCAGCTGGTGCTTGTTGCAGGGGAACCTGTGCAGACTGGGACTCTTCAGGATCAGGCCTCAGATTTGGTTCAGATGATGCCTGAGTGAGGCAAAGGATCCAGTGCAGACTGAGACTCCTCTGGTTCTGAGTCCGAGCCCAAGTCCCAGGCCATCACAATAGGGAAGTTTTCCCATCACAATAGGGAAGTTTTCTCATTTTTTAAACATTTTATTATGTTTTTAAATATGTTGGAATCTGCCCAGAGTCTCTGGGGCAACCCAGGAAGATGTGTAGGATACAAACAGTAAAATTATCATTATGGAATGGGACGTCCCTATTTTCATCAGAGGAATGTTGCAGGGTATGACCTCCTTGGCCTACCCAACCTCACGGTGGGAGAACCATTGTGGTGTAGTGGTCAGAGTGTTGGTCTAGGACCTGGGAGACAAGGGTTCGAATCCCATTCTTGGCCATGACACTCACTGGGTGACCTTGGGCCAGTCACAGCCTCTCAGCCTAACCTACCTCACCAGGTTGTTTCATAGAAGAATGGAGGATGTTTGTGGAATATGTTTTTGAAATACAACAGTCAAATGAAACCACGCTCAGAATTTGAGATAAAATCAGGAGAAGAAATATGATAAAATGGGTGTAATAGAGAAACTTTTT